TAGAGGATGAGTTGTCACCTGACCAGTGGGTCGGTGCTATTTCTGCCGGGGAGACCTCATCCACTTCACTGGATCAATCTGTTCCACCAGTTGAGGGGAAAGACTTAGCTCCCACTGACTTCCCAGATGAAGTCAAGCGTTTGTTGACTCTGTTGAACAAACGTCGTAAAGCCATTGCTTTACCAGGTGAGAAGATGGGTATAACGAACTTATTGTCCCATCGTATTCCACTTGAACCTGGTACTAGACCTATCTACATACCTGCGTACAGAATGCCTCATTCACAAGTTGCTGTCGCAGAAGAATTGATCAATCAAATGCTTGATGATGGAGTTATTGCACCTAGCAATTCACCTTGGAATGCACCCTTGATACTAGTACCTAAGAAGGATGGTACTTGGCGCCCAGTGATTGACTTTAGGAAGTTAAATGCGAAAACCATTCCAGATCGCTTTCCACTCCCAGTACTGGGTGATCTTTTACGTAATATCGGAGATAACAAAGTCTTTTCAACCCTAGATTTGTTACAAGGGTTTTGGCAAGTCCCTCTTCACGAGGACAGCCAAGAGCTAACTGCATTCTCCACTCCTACAGGTCATTATCACTTCCTCCATATGGCGTTTGGATTACGATCTTCCCCTATCACGTTCTCAAGGCTCATGACTAATATCTTTAGAGGTCTCATAGGTAATGCACTTATGGTGTACTTAGATGACGTAATCGTCATGTCTAAAGACGTGGATACACACTTGAAAAGACTTGATGTAGTACTTGGTAAGCTTGAAGAAGCCAATTTAAAGATCAAACTGTCTAAATGTCAATTTTTCAGATCAGAAATTAAGTTTCTTGGTCACGTAGTCACTCCTAGAGGGGTTACGACTGACCAAAGTAAAGTAACTGCAGTACTAAATTTTCCAACTCCCAAAACTGCTGATGCCGTAAGATCCTTTGTGGGCTTAGCAGGTTTTTATAGATCTTTCATTGCCAATTTTCTTCCATAGCTGCTCCTCTAACTGAGTTGCTTAAGAAAGATGCTCCTTTTGTTTGGACCTTCCGTCAAGAAAGAGCATTCCACACTCTAAAAGAAAAGCTAACATCTGCTCCAATTTTGAAATTTCCAGATTTTTCTAAGCCCTTCTATCTGACAACTGATGCTAGTTCAATTGGCATAGGTGCCGTACTAGCTCAGAAGACCGATGGCAAGTACAACGCAGTTGCATTTGCTAGCCGAGTCCTTACGAAGGCTGAACGTAATTATACAGTAACTGAGCAAGAAGCTTTAGCAATAGTATGGTCTTTAAAGCACTTCCGAGACATTATTTATCAGTACTCTGTTCATGTCTTGACAGACCATGCTCCACTGATACCCTTATTCCAGAACAAACAACCTACTGGAAGGTTAGCCAGATGGACCTTGACTATCCAAGAGTTCAATCCCACCTTTGAGCATTTACCTGGCAAGTCAAATGTAGTTGCAGATGCCTTATCGCGACATGTTAGTATAGTAACTGCAGACCCTCCATTTAGTGCTGAAGATGTAAAGAATGCTCAACGAACAGATCCCATGTGGTCTGGTGTGATTCGATTCCTGCTCCAGGAAGATCTTATTCTGACTGTGAAGCCACCAGCACCCATCAGTGACTTTGTCATGAACCAAGAATTACTGTATCGAACAGCCGAGTTGGGTACTCCTAGCAGAAGAGTATACCAGTTAGTAATTCCACAGTCACTAGTGAATGTAGCCTTACAGCTAGTTCACGATGTACCAGGTGTTGCACACCCTGGTATGGATCGTTCAGTAAAACAAGCCAGATTGAAATACTTTTGGCCTCGTATGGCAACTGATATTTCTGAGTATGTTAAGAAATGTAGTGTCTGCATGCAACATAAAGGCAATGCTAATGGTCCTAACCCAATCCAAGTATATCCAACTACTAGCGAACCTTGGGAAAGAGTTGCGCTAGATTTGTTAACTAATTTCCAATGTTCCCTCCAAGGCAACAAACATCTGTGTGTTATGGTAGACCATTTCACCAGATATTGTGAGTTAGTTCCTATTGCAGATAAGACTGCCGAGACAGTAGTTAAAGTGTTTAAAGAACGCATTATCTGCAGGCATACCACCCCTAAGTCACTAGTAACAGATAATGGAGGTGAATTCTGTAATGAGATTCTTGAAAATTTGTGTACCTTGTACTAGATCTCTAAATCCACCATTGTTCCTCATCATCCTGCCAGCAATGGGTTAGCGGAACGAACCAATAAGAAAGTACTTGATGTCTTGAGAGCCACTATCAATCCCAACAGTGAAACTTGGGATGAAGTTATACCTGATGTTGTTAGGTAAGACACATATGCAACAGTTAGACAACTTTATTCCGAAACGTTTCGCCTACACAGTAGGCTTCTTCAGTCGAATACAGAAAGTAGGCAGGAACAGTAGAGATGTGAAGACGATGTAATCAGTCCATCACCCTTAAAGTCGTAGAATTTGAGGTTGTCAGTCCCTCGGCCTGGAGAAGTTCAGTTCCATAGTCAGGAACTATCTGACTATGGAACTGAACTTCTCCAGGCCGAGGGACTGACAACCTCAAATTCTACGACTTTAAGGGTGATGGACTGATTACATCGTCTTCACATCTCTACTGTTCCTGCCTACTTTCTGTATTCGACTGAAGAAGCCTACTGTGTAGGCGAAACGTTTCGGAATAAAGTTGTCTAACTGTTGCATATGTGTCTTACCTAACAACCTGTCGGTATTGTATACCATTTTGATGTTTATACCTGATGTGCAGTGTGCTATAAATTCTGCTTACAATGTTTCTATAGGTGACACTCCACATTATGCATTGTATGGTGTAGATAAACGTTTGCCTTATGAGTTGTTATATTCTAATCCGAAACCAAATTACAACCCTGATGATTTCATAGCAACTCGTACCAGCTTAGCTCAAGGTGTTTTTAGAAGAATCCGTGAAACACTTCATAAATCAACAGCAGAATTTACAAGAGTCGCAAACACTCGAGCAAAGCCATCCAAAATCAAAGTAGGTTCGAGAGTTATGCTGATTAACTTTAACAAAACGTCTGCAATGCCAAAGCTTGATCAAAAGTTTGTTGGTCCTTATCGAGTAGTTGAACATATTACTGGTAATAAGTATAAGGTTAGAGAGATTAGTACTGGTCAGTATAAATAATCGCATTTAGATCATATGAAGTTAGTATGTGATGATAATGATGTTCCAACCCAGACTAATGTGACAGACTCTGACAGTCCTCCTGATCCTGTACTCTCTTCCTCTGATACTCAGTCAGACGATCAACCTGAATGTCGTTATTCCCTACGTACACGACAGGTATTGAGAAATCCTCAAGTATCATTTGTAACTTCCAATTCAGATTTGCCTCAAATACAGCATGAGTTAGCCAATGCTACAGAGTTTGATCCTGGAGTTTACCTGGAGAGAGTTTCGGGGGTCAACGCCCCCGCGGCCCGGTCTGTGACCAGGCCTCCTGGTGGATCAGCGCCTGATCAACCAGGCTGTTGCTGCTGGCTGCACGCAAACCAACGTACGAGTCACAGCCCGGCTGATCAGGAACTGACTTTAGGTGCTTGTCCAGTGCCAGCTTGAAGACTGCCAGGGGTCTGTTGGTAATCCCCCTTATGTGTGCTGGGAGGCAGTTGAACAGTCTCGGGCCCCTGACACTTATTGTATGGTCTCTTAACGTGCTAGTGACACCCCTGCTTTTCATTGGGGGGATGGTGCATCGTCTGCCAAGTCTTTTGCTTTCGTAGTGAGTGATTTTCGTGTGCAAGTTCGGTACTAGTCCCTCTAGGATTTTCCAGGTGTATATAATCATGTATCTCTCCCTCCTGCGTTCCAGGGAATACAGGTTTAGAAACCTCAAGCGCTCCCAGTAATTGAGGTGTTTTATCTCCGTTATGCGCGCCGTGAAAGTTCTCTGTACATTTTCTAGGTCAGCAATTTCACCTGCCTTGAAAGGTGCTGCTAGTGTGCAGCAATATTCCAGCCTAGATAGAACAAGTGACCTGAAGAGTGTCATCATGGGCTTGGCATCCCTAGTTTTGAAGGTTCTCATTATCCATCCTGTCATTTAGTGACGCAGACGCCCCAACTGATTCTCCCAGGCTCACAAATGGCTCTTGCAACAATCTCCAATTATTATTGCTGCCGTGAGAATATACAAAGCGTAGAGTTAACTTGGTGTTGTAGAGTTAGGTGTTCCCAGACCCCCAGGACACCGTGGAAACGAACTTCGATCTCCAGTGACTGGTTCCACTCACCCTCAGATTACTACCTACTTGGTATAAACCTTGGTAATAAATACCGACAAATTGGTTTAGAAAGACACGTAAGCAAACACTATGACATATTTATTAGAAAACGTTTCGGTCCTGGGACCTTGATCACTTCTAACATGCAGAGGTAGAAAGACACCTCACTCTCCGCCCATATATATAATGTCTTTCTACCTCTGTATGTTAGAAGTGATGAAGGTCCCGGGACGGAAACGTTTTCTAATAAATATGTCATAGTGTTTGCTTACGTGTCTTTCTAAACCAACTACCTACTTCTTCCTATCTTACCCCTGGCTGTCTTCAAGAAGGCACCCCTCAAGGAAGGTTCCTTGATGTTGGTGAGGGGCTCTTGATTTAGGGACTTGGATCTGTGCTCCAGTTCCCCGAATTAAGCCTGAATGCCTTCCACATCCCCTCCCCCAGGTGCTGTATAATCCTCTGGGTTTAGCGCTTCCCCCTTGATTATAATAATAATAATAATTCAAGAAGGCACTGGACAGGCACCTAAAGTCAGTACCTGACCAGCCGGGCTGTGGCTTGTACGTCTGTTTACGTGCAGCCAACAGTAACAGCCTGGTTAACCAGGCTCTGATCCACCATGAGGCCTGGTCACAGACCGGGTCAAGGGGGCGTTGACCCCCGGAACCCTCTCCAGGTGTGCTGGAAGGCCGGGTTCGATACGGTGCAAGTTATCAGCTGCTCTATAACCCCTCAACACTGAGGACAGACCATGTGATGTGGACACAATTATTTTTGCCAAGATTTGGGTAAAATTCCCTGCCTAGGAGGTAGGCCTCGGTATATCTTAGGCCTTAGTGATCTTGAAGACTAATACCACGCTGCTGTAAACCCACACGGGCGCTCCATCGTCTATTATTAAGGGATAACATCGTAATGAATCCTGGGAAATTATATTTTATTCCTCAGCTCTTTAAGTAAGCATTTTTTTATTATTATAAATAGTGGAAAAATAGAGACGAGTATAATGTGATCATCTATTGACAACGTTTCGCCCACTGGGATTTACTAGTGTAATAATGTTGGGAGAAAAAGTAAAAGGACACAAGTACAATTAATGTGACTTTTTTTTTGTGGCAACGTTTCGCTCTCCAGGAACTTTGTCAAGTTGCTGGAGAGCGAAACGTTGCCACAATAAAATGTCACATTAGTTGTGACCTTTTACCTTTATTAAGTCATAAGTAAAAAATGTAGTCAATAAAGGGAGGTTCCTTGATGCTGGTGAGGAGATCTTGATCCGGGGAATTGGATCTGTGATCCAGTTCCCTAAATTGAGCCTGAATACCTTCCCCCCCTCCCAGCAGGAGCTGTATAACCCTTACGGGTTTAGCGCTCCTGCATAATTATGTTCCTTCATGGAGGATGGGCTCCTTTAGGCAGATGAGGGGCTCTAGATCCAAGGAATTGAAGCAGCAGTTCCCCTCCTTGGGTCAGACCTGACTACCTTCAATTCCACAGGCGCTAAACCCTGACAGGTTTAGTGCATCATCATAAATGGAGATGCACTAAATGGAGGAGTGAGCCTTCAAGACTTCTTGTACTAAAAGATCCATATGGGTTTAGAGCTAACATAACTATCTGCACTGTATGACTCTTGTAGGTTTAGCTCTTTTTTTATTATAATAATAATTAACATAAATATAATAATGTACTTATCAATATACAGTGGACCCCCGCATAACGATTACCTCCGAATGCGACCAATTATGTAAGTGTATTTATGTAAGTGCGTTTGCACGTGTATGTTTGGGGGTCTGAAATGGACTAATCTACTTCACAATATTTCTTATGGGAACAAATTCGGTCAGTACTGGCACCTGAACATACTTCTGGAGTGAAAAAATATCGTTAACCGGGGGTCCACTGTATATTAGTCATCTCTCTTGTAAATCATCTCATGCACAATTTTTTATAAATACAGTTTGAAAAAACAGCTCAATGCATCTAAAATTGAATATGAAATGAAGTCTTCATAATACAGGTACTTCTTGACTTACAATGGTTCGATTTACAACATTTCAACTTTATGATGGTGGCAAAGCAATTTTTTTGAGATGAAACTTAAGATAATTACCCAACATGAAGGTGGCAAGTCCCTAACTTGTATTCATTTATTTATTTTTCAATACTGGTATTTAGTTACAGTAATTATTTCTTTATTTACTTATTCAGTGACCCGTTATTTATATACTTATATATTTAGCATATCATATTCGTATTCAACTTACGATGGGTTCGTTGGAACATAACTCCTTCCTAAGTTGGGAACCACTTGTATCTGCTATTCAATTTCCGATGCTTACTTTCAATCACATTTATGAAAAACTACACTTATAGAGGAGCCTATGAGCTTCATAAGAGAGCTTTATATATATTCATTACTGTCTTACAGGCCCCCGACTAAAGAATACTCGGCAGTGAGTCAAAATGATCCATTCGTCGCGCATGAGGTGCTACAAGAATACTGCAGTTTGTTTGCCAGCGACGGGTCTGGTGTTCCCAGCTATATCTCCAGAGACCCTGACATATCTAGTATCATCGACTTCCCTGCTGAATCTTGGGATAAAATAGCAAAGGTAAAGAACCAGAGTGACTTCTGAATTTTTCTATAGGAGGGGCTCAGGATCGTGTCTTGAAACATCAGCAACAACAGTAACTACAACTACAACAAATACAGCTACAACAACAAAAAGAACAACAACAAACAAGAACAACAACAGCAGCAACTACAACAACAGCAACAACTATAACAACAGCAACATCTACAACAACTGCAACAAATACAACTACAACAAACACAGCAACTACAGCAACTGCAACTAGGGGCCTGATGGAGATAGTAGGGGGCTTCAGCCCCCCTTGCTACCCCTTGGCACTGTTCCTGTAAAGAACAATAACATCAAAAGCAGCAAGCACTCTATTAAGCTACAGACACTCCTCACTTAACGACGGAGTTGCGTTCCTGAGACCACATCGTTAAACAAATTAGTTGCTAAGTGAGGAGCATACTATAATGGCAGTGAGTTTGTGTCACCCATCTTTGATATTGTTTTAATATCACTTTTGCACCATTAATAACATTTCTGGTATATTTTTAAATGTTTATACTGTAGTGTACTGTATATTGAAATAAACAAAATAGAGGAAATCAACCCTAATATACATTATTTAGGTATGAATATAGGTCAGAGTGCCCGTTCTAAGTCCAAGGCATCAGTAAACGAGTACGTCGCTAAGTGAGGAGAGGCTGTATTTTCTGGGAGGGGTGATTTCATTCCATGAAGGGTTCTAGATCCAAAGAATTGCAGCTGTCCTACTCTTGCTCATATCAAACCTGATTGCATTCCATTCTCCAGGTGCCCTACAACCCCTACGAGTTTAGTGCTTAACCTAAATGTAATAATTAGGCATGCGACTAATGTTACTGTTAAAGGAATTTTGATCCCGGGAATTGGAGCTACACTCATTTTCCTTGGATCAAAACTCGTTCTCCAAGTGTTGACTCTTATGATGATAGCATTTTCCCATAAATCTAATAATAATTATATTTTTTGTATTTTATTATCACACTGGCCGATTCCCACCAAGGCAGGGTGGCCTGAAAAAGAAAAACTTTCACCATCATTCACTCCATCACTGTCTTGCCAGAAGGGTGCTTTACACTACAGTTTTTAAACTGCAACATTAACACCCCTCCTTTATTGATAAAAAATATAATCTTTTTTTGCTTTTATTAAAAGAAATAACTGATGACCCTTACTGATTTAGTGCTTCCCTTGTATGTAATGATAATAATAATAATAACAATAATAATAATAAGAATGATAATAAAAGTAATAATTATTTTCCACCCTTCGAGGGAGGTGCCTTGATGGCAACAAGAGGTTCTTGATCCAAGGAGATGGTAGGTTCAAAGAACTGAACCTACCCTCCCCTTCCTAGGATCAAATTTAATTGCCTCCCATCTTCCAGGTGCTATATGAACCCTATGGCTTTAGATCTCTCCCATGAATAATGTAATATATTGCACATGATAATATGACTCTTTCTGCAGGTTCAGATGCAGCGAGAGAAAATAGAGACCAAAGCAGAAGATAAAGAAGCGACAACAGCACCAAAACAACAAGAGGTGGACCATCTCAAACGTACACTGGACCAAACGGTAAGCAGTGAACATGTGTGTGTTTGACTAACAGGTATTACAATTGGGGGGGTGGTAAAGATGGTGATTGAATGAACGATGGTGAATGTGGGTCCTCTTTTTTTGGGGGAAAGGTCAACCCTCCTTAAAGATAAAGATTCTTTATTACAGCATGATATAATGTTTGTACAGAGGTAAATGACATTTAGGTGCACATGCAGAAAGCTCTTTAATATGTAGAACATTTCAGGCAAACTTTAGACTAATAAGGCAATAACCTATTTTTTTTTACATATATAATCTCTTAGGTAATTGTAAATATAAATTTAGGAATTACAATGTATACGAGAAATTGGTAAGAGATGGTCAATGCGATAAAAAATATATATGTACACCTCTGACAAGAGACAGGTATTGAATGAGTGATGGTGAATGTGTTTCCTCCCTTGATGAGAAACATTTCTGGCAAGACCAACACTCATGTGTCTGTGAAGAATGGGTTTTAAATGTTGCAGTAAGGAGGAGGCTGAGGGCAGTGTATATATTGTGTCTGATGGCAGTGTGTGGTGTGAATGTTAAGCAGAGAATTTGTAATTTGGATACAAGAAGGTGCCGAGGTTACTAAAAGTATTATCCAGAAGCTGAGGAGGGATTGTTAACTTAGTTTGGTCATTTAGAGAGGATGGAACAAAATAGGATTACTTGGAGGGTGTATAAATCTGTAGTGGAGGGAAGAGAGGTAGGGGTTGTCCTGAGAAAGGTTGGAGGGAGAGGGGTCAAGGAAATTTTGTATGCAAGGGACTTGGACATCCAACAGGTGTATAAGAGGATGTTAGGTAGGAGTAAGTAGAAGCAAGTGGTTTTTTTATAACCTGATATTCTGTTGGAGTGTGAGCAAGGTAACATCTCCAGGACTTGAGTCCTGGAGATATAATAATAATAATAATAATAATAATAATAATAATAATACGGTATCACTAAACTTGACTAACACATTAAATTTTTTTACAAAGAGTATAGAGTGTGAGCAGGGTAATATTTTGTGAAGGGATTCAGGGAAACTGGTTAGCCAGACTTGAGTCCTAGAGGTGGGAAGTACAATGCCTGCACTTTAAAGGAGGGATTTAGGATATTTGCTGCTTAGAGTGACATCTAAACTGTCATATCTGGGTACCTCTGCAAAGACAGTGATAGTGTGAATGATGGTGAAAGTGTTTCTATTTTTTGGGTAACCCTGCCTCAGTGGGAGATAGCCAGCGTGTTGAAAAATAAATAATCAAATTATACCTCGACAGGTGGACCGAATCTTCAATAAGCACGGCTTTTTTGTCAAGAAGCCATGTCCTGTTATGATCCCGTACAAGTCTACTCTGAACCACGCCGAGCACAAGGCTTACCTCCGAGCATTTGTCAAGTTCAAGATCCGAGCGCCCACGACCGCTGCTGATGCTTCTGAGTATGGCCAGTACTTGGTGAGTAGGTGTGTGAATGTGAGTGGTACTTTCTGTAGGTGAATATGAGTACTGTATTACTTTTATAAGTGTATGTGAACATGATTACTACCTTCTAACTACAGGTGAACATGAGTATTACCTTCTAACTTCCTGTGAAAGTGAGTACTGTCTTCTAACTTCTTGTGAACATGAGTACTATCTCTTAACTTCTTGTGAACATGAGTACTATCTTTTAACTTCTTGTGAACACGAGTACTATCTCTTAACTTCTTGTGAACACGAGTACTATCTCTTAACTTCTTGTGAACATGGGTACTATCTTTTAACTTCTTGTGAACATGAGTACTATCTTTTAACTTCTTGTGAACATGAGTACTATCTCTTAACTTCTTGTGAACATGAGTACTATCTCTTAACTTCTTGTGAACATGAGTACTATCTCTTAACTTCTTGTGAACATGAGTACTATCTCTGTCCCTGTCTGTCTGTCTGTCTCAGAGAGAGCCACTAAAGATTAAAGTTTGAAGAATAAAGATTCTTTTTTTCGGCATGATACAATGTTTGTACAGTGGTGGGTGACATTTAGGTGTGCATGCAGAAAACCCATTGTTATGCAGAACTTTCTAGGCAAACTTAAGCCTGTCTTAAGACTAATGTAGGAAAAGGGGGAAAGATTGCAGTAGGTAGATAAACTGTGTGTTAAGATTGTAATGTATGAAATGACTTGTCATGTCTTTAAGATGCAATTACTGTATTTTATGACATTGAAGACACTATTTTTTTCCCAAAATAAGTCTCAGAAATTTACTCAGTGTCTTGGAGGCCGAAGTACCATTTATCTTCTTCCCAGAATTTAGCCAGTCAGAATTGGGGGCGTCCTTGACACTGGAGCATCTTGTTCGCCATAAAATACGGTAACTATGCACAGTAGGGAAGGGTTAAGATCCATTGTGGCCTCTGTTATCCTGGTCCATTGCACTGCCACTCACAGAATGAGCATGAATTACTCACTTATAGTTTGTTACAGGGGTCATGTCACAGCTCTTGGCCCCACTTCTTCACTGGCCACTACTAGGTTCACTCTCCCAATTATAAGAGCCTTATTGTACCTCTTCTTAAAGCTATGTATGGATCCCACCTCTACCACTTCACTCTCCAGATTATTCCACCTCCTGACAACTCTAAGGCTGAAGAAATACTTCCTAACATCCCTTTGATTCATCTGAGTTTTCAATTTCCAGTTTTGACCTCTTGTTCCTGTGTCCTGTCTCTGAAACATTCTGTCCCTGTTCACCCTGTCAGTTCCACTCAGTATTTTGAACATCATTATCATATCCCCCCATCCCTCCTGTCCTCCATTGTCATCAGGTTAAGTTCCCTTAACCTCTCCTCTAGTAACTAAACTAGTCGCTTGACGTTTAGTCACTAAATTAGTTGCTTGACCTCTAGTCGCTAAACTAGTCGCTCAACCTCTAGTCGCTAAACTAATCACTTGACCTCTAGTCGCTAAACTATTCGCTTCACCTCTAGCCGCTAAACTAGTCACTTGACCTCTAGTCGCTCAAGCAGCGCAGAGTAAGAGATTTCTTAATGCCCGAACTGACTTTATGTTTCCCCGCAGAGGCTACAACACCGGGTGTACGAGGAGCAGAACTGCTTCATGCAGTTCTCACACCAGGTCTCCAGGCTGCAACTTCCAGCTTACAATTTGGTTCCTGATGTTATCAAAAATTATGTCAATGATTATGTACAGGTGAGTTATGTGGTTGTACCTTTTGAGGTGAAGGTACCAGTGCAGGTGAGTAGTTATGTGGTCATAACTCAACATGAGGTGAAGGGATCAGTGCAGGTGAGTAGTTATGTGGTTGTAACACAACATGAGGTGAAGGGATCAGTGCAATTGAGTAGTTATGTGGTTATAACTCATGAGGTGAAGGAATAATCTCACTCATTGAACTTAAAAAAAAAAGATAATTTTGGGGGAAGCGAGTGGTCGATATTGGCAGTTGTAGTGGACAGAGAAAAATTTATTTTGTAGTGATTGTAAAAATACATTAACTCTTTCAGGGTCCAGACCCCCAATCTGAAACTTGTTCTCAAGGTTCAGAATTTAAAAAAAAAGTTATTTTTCTCATGAAATGGTAGAGAAACTTTTTCCGAAGGTAATGACACCAAAAGTACTTAATTTGTTGGTAAACTTACATGCACTGTGGGGGGAATGGGCAGGATTTTTTTTTTATGTGGTGCACACTTACTACATAGACCCAGTCACTTATATCTAGGCCAAATTTACCACTCACATTAACTAGTGACTGGTCAGTAGTCCAAGATGAACTGAAACGTCGTCATAAATTTCTTTCTTCTGTGGCGCGGGTTATTCGTGTAATATTAGACAATGCATAACAAAAAATAGGCACCAAATTCAAAAAGAGAAAAATATAGGCTTGGGGGAGATTGGAACTATGTAGCTCAAGTTACCATACTTTGTAATGGGACTCTGAGCCTAACTTACAGATGTTGAAGACAATGTACATTCCCACAAGCAGATGAAACATTAAGAAATCAATCCATCCACTGACCTGGATTTTGGCCATGGTGACACTTAATCTTTACTGCTCTGCAACACCTCATATTAATAATGTACTATACAGTAGGACCCTCGTATCCATGGGAAATACATTCCAAGATCTACTGCGGATACCCGAAACTGTGGACAGTAGTGAACCTTATGTATAAGTCATTTTTCGTTTACACACGTACCTATGATAAAGTTTAATTGATAAATTACACACAGTAAGTCGAGACTTAGCACTTTTTCACTGATGGGAAGCACTTCATGACTTCTCTTAGCCTAAAAACTATTTTTGTGCTTTGGTGTCATTATTAAACAAAATTTAGGGTTATTTTCGAGCCACAGTAAACCACGGATAACTGAAACTGCGGAAACTCAGCATACAGATATGGTGGTTCTACTGTACAGGCAAACGTGTTTTCTTCTTGGGGTCGCCCTGATTTTTTAAGACATGGCAGATGTGGCTAAAAAAATAAATCATCAGTCTTACATCTCATGCTGTGATATATTTATTCTTTTCTGCTTTGTAATGCTTCATATATTAATATTGCATATAGGCAAACCATACCACTTGTATATAGGCAAACTTGTTTTCTTCCTGGGGTCATCCTGATTTCATAAGACATGGCAGATGTGGTTAAAAAATAAATCATCGATCTTACATCTCATGCTTTGATTCATTATTTTCAGCACCGGTGTAAACGCTCCTCCAATTACAAGACATTATATGTCCACGAACAGCAAGTGCCCATTTGTCCTCAAGACCCGACTAAAAGATTCCACTCTCTAAGTCTCACCCACATTGGCCATCTACTAAGCTTGGTAAGGAGAATCTTTTCACAACTATCCCACATTTTGGAAAATAAATTTTATGTGAAATTTGAGCTGTCATTAGCCACCTAGAATTTAATGAAGGTTGAGAATAATCTGAAACACTGTCTGGTATCTCCTCTTCAGATTGTGGGTTACTCTATACTTTTCTTTTTTTATGATAATTTTTAAATGTTCTCCATAAGGAAATTCTTCCTTCAAAGCCATACGTGTCATAAGAGGCAGCTAAAATGCCGAGAACAAAGGGCTAGTAACACCTTCTGCTGTATAAATTACTAAATGCTGGGAGCAAGGTGCTAGTAACACCTGTATAAATTACTAAATGCTGGGAGCAAGGTGCTAGTAACACCTGTATAAATTACTAAATGCTGGTGGAGGACCCTGGGCTGCAGCCCCTGGAGGCCCTCCACCTGGCAGGAGCCCCTGGGCTGTAGCCCCTGGAGACCTTCCAGTTGGTGAAGGACCCTTGGCTGCAACCCCTAAAGCCCAGTCCTTAATCTGGCCCTGACTGTGGACCATTATCATTCATGTCTTCATAATAGTTCATCACTAGTCATCCCATTTTTCTCATTTTTTAAATAAAAAACTGGGATACATAAGAAAATATAGTTGGGAGACCCTTCACTCCATAAAAAAAATAGTCATTTTATTGTGATTACAACTTTGAGATTACTTTAATAACACAATTTTACTCGCAGATTTTGAAGGGACACCAAGACAGTGCCCTGAAAAAACTAAAACCGGGATGAATGGAATCTCTGACATATGACGGACCACATCCTCTTCTGAAAATTTATCTCCATCTTGGGGCTCGGTGGAAGATGCACAAACGTATTTTTTTTATTATCACACTGGCCGATTCCCACCAAGACAGGATGGCCCGAAAAAGAAAAACTTTCACCATCATTCACTCCATCACTGTCTTGCCAGAAGGGTGCTTTACACTACAGTTTTTAAACTGCAACATTAACACCCCTCCTTCAGAGTGCAGGCACTGTACTTCCCATCTGCAGGACTCAAGTCCGGCCTGCCGGTTTCCCTGAACCCCTTCATAAATGTTACTTTGCTCACACTCCAACAGCAGTCAAGTATTAAAAAACCATTCATCTCCATTCACTCCTATCAAACACGCTCACGCAACGCCTGCTGGAAGTCCAAGCCCCTCGCACACAAAACCCCCTTTACCCCCTCCCTCCAACCTTTCCTAGGCCGACCCCTACCCGCCTTCCTTCCACTACAGACTGATACACACTGAAGTCATTCTGTTTCGCTCCATTCTCTCTACATGTCCCGAACCACCTCAACAACCCTTCCTCAGCCCTCTGGAAACAACAGTTTTTTGGTAAACCCGCACCTCCACCTAACATCCAAACTGCGAAATCTCTGCAATATATTTCACACCACACATTGCCCTCAGACCATTACATTCTCCACTGCCTCCAGCCTTCTCCTCTACTGCAACATATCATCACCCATGCTTTCACACCATATAAAGTGTTGGTAAAACTATACTCCATACATTCCCCTCTTTGCCCTCCAAGGGACAAAGTTCTCTTTGGTCTCCACAGGCTCCTAAGTGCACCACTCCCCCTTTATCCCCTCATCAATTCTAAGATTCACCCATCCTTCATAGACCCATCCGCTGACAACTCCCCTCTCCCAAATATCTGAATACATTCACCTCTCCCATACTCTCTCCCTCCAATCTGAGAACCAATCTTTCAATCACCTAAATATTTTTGTTATCCTCATAACCTTAACTCTTTCCCTGTATTCACTTTTAATTTTCTTCATTTGCACACCCACAATTCATCCACCATCTCTGCAACTTCTCTTCAGAATCTCCCAAGAGCGACAGTGTCATCAGCAAAAGAGCAACTGTGCAACGTCCCACTGTATGTGTGATTCCTTAATCTTTAACTCCATGCCTCTTTCAAGAACCCTCGCATTTACTTCTCTTACTCTAAATGCCTACTTTACTGAAATAATTTCCCTCTTTCCTATGTAAAAAAACTACCAACTGAGCCTCACTATCCTCGTAAAACTCTTCACTGATTTCAGTAACCTACCTCCAACTTGCAGGATATACCATACACCTGCAACATCTGCCACATTGCCCCCCTATCCACCCTGCATACGCCTTTTCCAAATCCATAAAATGCACAAGACCTCTTTAGGCCTTATCTAAATACTGTTCACTTATAATGTTTCACTGTAAACACCTGGTCACACACCCCCTAACCTTTCCTAAAGCCTCCTTGTTCAAGCTATCCTATTCTCAGTCTTACTTTTAATTCTTTCAAATAATAACTCTACCATAACACTTTACCAGGTATACTCAACAGCTTATCCCCCTATAATTTTTGCACTCTACTTTTGTCCCCTTTGCCTTATACAAAGGAACTATGCATGCTCTCTGCCAATCCTAGGTACCTTACCCTCTTCCATACATTTATTAAATAATTGCACCAACCACTCCAAAATATTCCCACCTGCTTTTAACTTTTTTATCTTTATCCCATCAAACCGCTGCCTTACCCCTTTCATTTTACCCCTGCCTCACGAACTTCCCCCACACCAAATGGCTCTTCCTCACTCCTACAAGATGTTATTCCTCCTTGCCCTATACACGAAATCACAGCTTCCCTATTTTCATCAACATTTAACATTCCTCGAAATATTCCCTACATCTTCCCAATACTCTAACTCTCCATTTAATAACTCTCCTCTCCTATTTTTAACTGACAAATCCATTTGTTCTCTAGCTTCCTTAACTTGTTAATCTCACTCCAAAACTTTTTCTTATTTTCAACAAAATTTATTGATAACATCTCACCCACTCTCTTCATTGCTCTCTTTTTACATTGCTTCACCCACTCTCTTAACCTCTCTCTTTTTCTCCATATATCTTCCCTCCTTGCATCACTTCTACTTTGTAAAAACTTCTCATATGCTAACTTTTTCTCCCTTACTACTCTCTTTACATCATCATTCCACCAATCGCTCCTCTTCCCTCCCGCACCCACTTTCCTGTAACCACAAACTTCTGCTGAACACTCTAACACTACATTTTTAAACCTACCCCATACCTCTTCGACCCCATTGCCTATGCTCTCATTAGCCCATCTATCCCCCAATAGCTGTTTATATCTTTCCTTAACTGCCTCCTCTTTTAGTTTATAAACCTTCACCTCTCTCTTCCCTGATGCTTCTATTTTCCTTGTATCCCATCTACCTTTTACTCTCAGTGTAGCTACAACTAGAAAGTGATCTGATATATCTGTGGCCCCTCTATAAACATGTACATCCTGATGTCTACTCAACAGTCTTTTATCTACCAATACATAATCCAACAAACTACTGTCATTTCGCCCTACATCATATCTTGTATACTTATTCATCCTCTTTTTCTTAAAATATGTACTACCTATAACTAAACCCCTTTCTATACAAAGTTCAATCAAAGAGCTCCCATTATCATTTACACCTGGCACCCCCAAACTTACCTACCACACCCTTTTTAAAAGTTTCTCCTACTTTAGCATTCAGGTCCCCTCCCAAAATTTTCTCTCTAACTTGATTAAAAGGCCCCTATACATTCACTTAACATCCCCAAAAAAATTTTCTCTCTCCCCTCGCATTCCTCTCTTCTCCCGGTGATACACGTTTAAATTTGACCCATTTCTCCCCACCCAAACCTTTATTTTTATCCCATTAATTCTTGCTTTTACACATTCTTATTCTTTTTTTTCCCCCCCCTTCCAAAAAATGATCATTCAACATTACTGCTCCCCCCTTCCTTTGCTCTAACTCTCTAGAAAACTCCAGATTTAACCCCCAATTTATTTCCCCCCACCGAAAACCCCCCTCCCCCCTTCAGCTTTTTTTTTGCTTTGGGGGGCCCAGGACACCCAATTCTTTTAAATTATAACATCAGCAATCATCTTTTTTCTTGTTCGAATTTCATCCACGCCATTCAAGAAACCCAGTTTAAAAGTTTTTTTTCTTTCTTTTTTAGTAAATGTTACGGAAAAGGGGGGTTATTTAGCCATTGCCCCCGGCCCTTTTTAGTCGCCTCATACGACAAACATGGTTAAGGGGAAAGATTTTTTCCACTTCCCCATGGAAAATTAGAAAAAAATTAAAGAAGAAAAAGACCCTATGAAAGAAAAGGAAAAAAAAACCTAGATGTTGTAATATATATGCAGGGGGCATGTTTTGTAAAGTGTGACCAAAGTGTAAGTTGGGGGAAAGCAAGAAATCCCTGTTATCTAGCGTGTTTATAAAGACGGGAAAAAAGACCCCAAGCAACCCTTTACTATCATGAAAAACCAGTTACGGTTTTGTTTCACAGTCATCTGGCCCGGCCGGTAGTTTTTCCCTGGGTGGTTGCTGTTCCCAAACCCTTTAAAAGTGGATATAAAAAAAAAATAAAGCCTCCCCTCATTAATGATGGGTTCTTTTTGCTAACCCCATGCCCTTTTAAACAAATTTTCGTCGCTAAGTGAAGAGCAAAACTGAAAATTGGTAGTGGGTTTTTTTGTAAACCCGGGGGATATTTTTTTCAGTCACCTTTCCACCATTTATAAAAATTTTGGGGTAAAATTTTTAAATGTTTAAAGTAGTATACGTTATTTTAAAAAAAATAGAATAGAGGAAATGAGCTTAATTTTACATTATTTAGGTTTAAATAATGTTCGGAGCCCCTTTATAAAATCCCGGGGGTCGGGTAAAGAGTACATTTTATTTTAAGGAGGCTGGGAAAGAAAAGTGGGATTTTAATCCACTCCTTTTTTGGGGTTTTGGGGTATTTTTTTTGGGTGGGGGTTTATCAAGTTTCTTTATGCATGATACGATAAACCCCTCTTTTTTTGTATGTTTTAAAGGGGGTTAATTTAAAAATTTGTGTAGGTGACACATTGTATGTTAAAATAAAAGGATTCAAATTAGACAAGTTTAGATTTTGAAAAGGGCAAGGAAAATATGGTTTTGGGAAAAAAGGGTAGTTTATGAGTGGAACAGTCTACCTAAATTGGGTTATTGAAAGGGTTGGACTTTGGGGGAGTTTCAAATTTAGGTTTGGGTAA